TCCAGTCTCGGAATTGTAACTCTCCCGCAGGACATCAGATAACCCCGAAACACTAGTGATGGAAACAAAATTGACAAAACTCAATCTAACCCAATTGTGAAACAAAAACAAAATCAACCTGAAAGAGTTTAATTTCAAGATGAACTAATTTTATTACTACTTAGGGCATGTTCAATAGTAACTTTTAGTGGTTTAACCAATTCAAACCACTACTTGGCAAATTTAGGGTAAAAAGTAAATAGTATGTCTTGATTATTATAAGAAACCTATGATCATAAGATATGAACCAATCTATAGTACCATAAGCATAATTATATCAATATGGAAAAAATATGGGGTTAGGGTGGCTGACTGGCTAATTATTTATTGTTGAAAGTTGTGTAAATTGATTAAAATGATATTTATTACGAAAATTTAACAACAAACCAACCTTTGCCCTATTCTCCCAAAATGAACAAACCTTTAAATCTTCCCAAAATAAACACAAGTTTGTATTTTTTTCTCCCAAAATAAACCCAAATGACTTGTGACCCGTACAACCTACCATTTTTTTTAATTTTCCTTTAATTATTATTTTTTTTAATTAAAAACCTTTAATTATTTTTTTCAAATTAATAATTTAATTAAAAATAATAATTTTAATTAAAAAGTAATTAAAAACAAAAAAAACAGATCACTCTCCCTTCACCTCACTGTCATACAACCACCACCATCATCCACCACATGCAACCGTGTCATGGCCACTCTCACCCCTACCCACCACGAAACTCTCTAGACACGCCGGAAAAACCCCCTAACCATCCCAAAAACCCAACCACAACCCGAAAAACTCCCGACAACTCTCCCCTATCCCTGAAAACTCCTCCCCCATACCCTAGCCACGAAAATTCCACCTCGAAAACCCCTGACAACCATAATCATGCCCCATCGCCGCCAAATCCCCCACCTCGAAACCATTAAGCAACCATAACCATCCCCACGCACCCTACCCACCCACAAATCCGGCACCTCGAAATCAAAAAAAAAAATCGAGTTGTTCAAATTTAATCACAAGAATAAATTTGAGCAACTAATAAATCCTAATTTCTATCACGATCTACAATTTTTTTCAACGATTAAGCTTGTCAATTTAAGGTTTGTTTCTTTTTTAATTTTTTTAATTGTTCTTGAGAGTTTGTGATGTTTTTCGGGGTTACTGTTGGGGTTTCGGGGGTTTGATGGGTTTTCGACGCCTTGGAGTGGTGGTGTTGGGTTGATGGTGGTTTTGATGGCGAGAGCTGGTGAAGGTTATTAAGGTGTGGTTATAGTCGGCGCCGGAGACCAGGGGAGGAGATTCTTAGCACCGACCGACGTCGGGGGCAAGGGAGTCAGGCTTAGTGGGTGGCAGTGGGGTGGCTAGCATGTGTAAGGATGTTTTTTTTTTTTTTAATTTCTTTATCTTTTTTTTTTGTAAAAATTATTTTGTAAAAATTATCAAAATAATAAAAAAAAAAACCTTGACCAATGATTTAATGACTCGTGGATTTTTACCTGGTATAACAGGTTAGGTGACTTGTTGGGTTCATTTTGGGAGAAAAAAATCCAAACTTGTGTTTATTTTAGGAAGATTTAAAAATGGGTCCATTTTGGGAGAATGGGGCAAAGTTGGTTTGTTATTGTTAAATTTTCCTTTATTTTATATGTATTTTGGTTAGATAAGGTAATGGTTGGTGGATTGGGAATAACTTCAGTGGGAGCATCTTTTTTTGGCTTTAGTGAGCTGTCAGGGGCTTTTTGGGAAGGTTTAACAATAGTCAATGGCTGACTTTTCTTTCTTGGACTAGATTTAACTGGTAGTCCCCTCTTTATTGGAAGTTTTTTGGGTCTCACTTTTTTGGGTTGGGTCTGTTTTGAGGAAGCAGGTTGTAGTTTTGAGGGGAAGGCTATTGGGTCATTGTCACCATGCATAGCATATACCTCCACCCCCCCTGCTTCTCTGCCACCTATATCATTTCCCTCATACTTTCATCATCTGTCATCCTCCTCAAACCATCCACCATACTAAGTCCAGGAACTAAGTATAAAAAGCCTTGAATTCTACCATCATATCTAGCACACTTCATAACCAACTCCACAAGATAAAAGGAGCACAATTCATCAGGGTCCACACTAGAAGTTCTACCTTGCCCATTCATATAACACAACCCACCATTGTCAAGCTTCATGAACACCCCTCCATGCCACATTTTCAAGCTTCTTTTACTATCTCCCATACCTAAATTAACAGGAACTATAACACAATCAACAATCAACAAAAACTAACAAAAACAACACAACAAAAACCTAGCATTTAGGGTTCGAACTTAATTAAAATAAACCAACAAAAAAATCACAACATAAGACAAACAAACGACAATTCGCACCCATAAGTACCATATAAATTAAAATCCAATAGGCAAAATCATCAATTTCGAGTTTAATTGCTTAATATTCGAGATTTACTTGCAAAATTAGCAAAATTTCAGGTGGAAATTAGGGTTTAAAACTTACCTAAAATGGAGTTCTTTACTGTCCAAATATCACCAAGAATGGAAGCTTGAGACTTTACGGCACCGTACGCAAGTGGTTGAAGCTTCAATTATGGATGACGAAATTTTTTTACATGCTACAGCGAAAGCTCTGTTCAAGTGAGTAATGAGGGAGGAGTTCTTCCAGACATTAATGAGGGTGGTTGGGAAGGAGAGATGACCTCGCATCTTTCAAGAGGGAAATTAGAGTACCCAAGTCCACATAAGAAGACTTTACATACCTTGTTAGCCGATTCCAAGTAAATTGGGACCATTAAAAAAGATCGGGGGGTAAAGGTGAGATTATTTTAAAAAATCCCCAAAGGTGGGATTATTTATCGCGGACGCTCCAAAGTTGGGATTATTCCTAGCAATTTTTTCTTGAAAAAATGAGGGAGATTATGAAGATAACTTTTACCAGAACAATGAAAAAATAGTAGCAAATATGATGATATCACGATTTCTGATAATTAGCGTCAAAAGAATTTAAAAACGGCTAAAAATGGGGAGTGGAGCAAGTATTTATAAACTAAGACAGTATTTAAAAAGTTTCAATTTTATACTATGAAATGAAATATCAAGTACATCTCTACTTTTTCTATTTTTGTTGATTCTATACACAACTAATTATTTTATTTTATTTTTAAAAAAATAATGGTTAAGGTCGAACATTGGAAAAATTATCATGAATATTATGACCTTTAAAAAAATGGAAACACTTTTTTTCTTTTTCCAGATTTTTGTTTTTGTTTAAAAAAAAAACAACGTCAAACAAGCCTAAATGGTAAAATATTTTTGAATGAAAATAGAATTAGTATTTAACTAGATAGCTACCGTGCGATTCACAGATTTAATAAAAAAAATTTATAGTCATGTACATTTTCAATTCCTATAATCACTCAAAATATGTAAAATCTTTGTATTAACACAAACCAAACTACAAAAATTAAAATAATATAAATAGAAGAAAATTTATGTCTATAACAAAATTTGGTGGACTTTGTAATTAGACGGGGTAATCACATATATACATGGTTAATATTTGCTTTCCTTAAGATTAGCTATATGTACCTTAAGATAATTACTATATAAAAGTACTTTACACTTTGCAGTCAATAGGGAAAAAATTGAAGGAAAAGCTGACACGTGCATAATTTGAACAAAGAGATAATTTCAGCGGTTATAATTTTAGTATTAGTTATAGATAAATTGGAATGTAATACATAATTATTGTTTTTAAAATATCTAAATCCTAAATAAGTTTTATTTTGTTTTTATCTATGTGCATTTGAATTACATAAATTCTTATATATGTTATAGGGGTTACTCAATTAGTGGTACAGGGTTTCTCGATCAATGTTATAAGGGTTACTTTGTTATTTTATAAACAACCACATGGTGTGGCCAAACGCACACAAAAATACGTTGTTTGAACAACAAATTTTGAGTGCGGATGGCTACACCGTGTGGCCAGCTGACACACACCAAGTAACCCCTAACCGACGAGTAACCTCTGATCGATTGAGTAACTCTTGATCGACTTGGTAACCCCTGAATAAGTGAATAACCCCTAACCGACCGAGTAACCCCTGACCGAACAAGTAACCCCTGACCGAGTGAGTAACCCCTATAGCACTAACAAAGTAACCCCCATAATGGTTGGCAACATGGTGTGGCCAGCAACATATAAAAGTTTGTGTTCTCCTTAGTGATACTACGTGGAAGAAAGAAAAATTTGGGTACCATTTATAAAAGACAATAGGAGGGCCTCCAACCAAGTAGGCCAACCTTGATTCAGTTCAAGTGTTGATTAGTGTAAATATTTAGTCATTCATGTGTCATTTTTCCATAGCATGTCATTAATATATGTTTAAGTAAAATAAGGTAAATAATAGGTTGGTTAAAAATTATGGTTGGTTTAAAATCATGTCAGGTGAAAATCAGGTCAGGTTAATATCAGTTCGGATAAAAAAGCAGATAAGATTGAATCGGGTGTTTGTCGGGTCAGTTTCAGTTCGGACTGAGTTCAGGTCGTGTCAAATCGGTTCGGTTTGAGTTCAAGTCGGGTCAAATCGCTTTCGAATTGAGTTCAAATTGGGTCAAATTGGTGCCAAGTTGAGTTCAAATCGAGTCAATTTCGAATTCAGGTTGAGTTCTGTTCGGTTACATATCGGATTTGGGTCTTAAATTTCTCGGATCAAATCGAATCAGTTACAATTCTAAACGGATGATTTTTTCGAGTCGGTTCGGTTTTGAAACCTCTAATCCTTGTAGCAGGTGTGACAATTCAGTTGTTGAAAAATATACTTTGACCATATGAATTATGATTTATGATGACTATGTTTATGACTAATTTGATACGAAGATAGGTACGTAATTACGAAGAAACAGTATAGTTTTCTCTGTCTAGTAGCCTTTAAATACATGTCCTATGTAATTAATCTTGGTATTCTCATACGAATATCAAAACCAAAATAAAAAGCAAGATAGCAGATTAAAATGGCCTCTTCCAAGACTATTTTTCTTATTGCTATTCTTTTTGCAATTACTCTTCTTAATTCTTCTCAGGTCTCAGCCCGACACCTTGTTGAGTCAAACTCAACTCAAAATCCAGGTTAGTAACCCGTTTCCAATTTTATCCATTTGTTAATACTTTTTGCAACACTTAATCTTTTAATTATTTTTGCATTGTCTTCTGACTATATCTCTATGAGCGGGTCTAGCTCTTTGTGCATGTGATGCGTGCAATAAGTTTAAAATTAACTATTAATTTTATTTACAATACAATATAAACTAATCTGATTTTTAAATTTTAATAAATAATAAATTTGCAAAAATAAACTGTATGTTAGATATTAAATAAATAATCATGCTAACTAACTTATATAGGCAATTTTTGTTTTTTTTTTTTTTGACATTTGTAGAGCATTTTGCAAAAGGGAATAAAATAGGCAAAGGAACAATTACGGAATAAAAAATTAGAGTTTTTTTTTCCCCTTAATTTTCAATAATGCTTTTATTTTTGTATAAATTATTTAAATCATTTTCTTTAAAGGGTTTTTTTTTTTTTTTTTTTTTTTTTTTTTTTTTTTTTTAAATTTTGTTTGTTTGGTTATGCGTCAATTATATCCTTTATTAATTCCACAAGTGTAGTTGACAATTCAACCTTTTAATTGAATTATTTATATGAGTTTTCATGTTGCTGATTCGTTTAAAATATATATAAAGTAAGGGCAAATTAAACATTGCAGGAGTGAAAAGTTGGTGTCTAAAATGCCCATAAAATAAAGCCTAGAAAATAAAGATTATAAAAAAAAGTTGCCAAATCACAACAATTTCTAAAAGTTTACATTTACAAATTGCCAAAATTAAAAATAGGCTCTCAAAAGAAGACTGCAATAAGTTAGAAATTAAAAAAATAAATTAAAATTAACATTGCATTCTTTCAGAAATAAACAAAATCATACAAGAATTAAAAATAAAAAATAAAAAATGTATGTCTATAAGAATGTTGACCAATATGTAATTAAGGTTTCATATAACATCAAACAATATCCAAAAACAATCTTATATAAGCCATAGGGGAAGAGTGACTTTTGAAATAATAACATAATTTTCTTAAAATTTACGACAGTTTACAGTCTTTAAAAAAATGCTTTAAGGGTAAACTCAATTAAAATGTAAAAAACATTAGTCACCAAATTTATATTATTCCAAAAAAATTAAAAAAATAAAATCCATAAGAAAATAAAACAAACCAAATAAAATACTCCTAATATTAACCATGTGAAGGATATTAACCTCTATGCAATAAGAATTTTCATAGGATATCATAAATAAGAATTTTTCATAGGATATCATACTAGACCATAAAAAAATTATATTACAAATAATTATAAGGGCTTTAAACTTCAAAATCACGTTTGAAAAGGAGGTAAAGAAGACTTGGAAAGTGTAACGAACAACTATTAAGTGGGAAACATCGAAGTGGTAACTATAGTTGTGCAGAAAACGCCATTATTAATCCATCGTGTTTAAGTTTTTAGTTTCTACTCCCTTCGTTTTAAATACTTGTTCCACTTTTTATTTTCGATCATTTTTAAATACTTGCTCTATTTTCTTATCTGGAAAGCTTTTAAATATTTAATTAATTTCTCTCACCTAGTGGATCCATCATAAATCATATTTTATTAAATTCTTATTCTCTATCCTTCAATTCTCTCAACTACTTTTGCTTTTTACAATTTTTAATTCTTCCATCTACCCCATTACCTCTATATTTTATTACCTTTTTTAATTTCTCCTAAAACTCTTCACATAGAGAAATGGAGCAAGTATTTAAAAACGGATGGAGTATATCATAATATGACTAACCTTATATCCACGCGATGCGTGCGCTAATTTAAAATATTATTTATTTTTTAATTACCTAATATGATTTTATATTATCACACGTATGCAATGAGTAAAAAAAAGTTAATATTAGATAAAAAAAATAATTAAAATTACTAATAAAAATAATAATCGCAGCCGTCCATTTTAAGAAATTGTGGTATTTAAAAGTTATAAGAGTACATTAGAATTTTCATATTTATTATACATAAGTCAAGGAAGAGAGTTGTGGTGTCCCTTTAAAATGTTCAATATACCTTTACTTTCGATTTGGATTCAATTAATAGGTTGAATTGTCAACTATACATAATTGTGAAGCTAATAAAAGATATAATTAATGCATTATTAATCAAATAAATTTTTTTTTTAAAAAAAACGCTGAAATAACTTTCATTTCAAAAGAAGTTAGGGAAATAATTTGAATCAAGTAAAAACAATAAGCAAATTTAGCAATTAAAAAAAACGTTTTTAGTTTTTTTTATTTTATTTTTTTTTATTTTTTTTTACTCTGTAATTGTTTCATTTTTCTATTTATCCACTTTTTCAAAATGCTCTATATGTGCCAAATTTATTTTTGTGATAATTATTAGAATAGTCATCCTCTGCATTTATATGTTTAGTTAGCATGATATATTGATATTTATTTTAGTTTTTAACGTGTATTTTTTGTAAATTTATTATGTCAAATTTAAAAATTTGTATTATTGAATACGATGATTAAATTAATTGTGAATTTTTGAAATAAATGCATGCAATGCGTGCATATAGAGGTATAAATAATTTAAGTTAATATGATAAACTCACTTTTTATTTTTTTTTCCTTTGTTAGCTGTTGAATTAAATTGGAGATGATTTTGATTATAAAAATTAATATTTTGAAATTTTATGTTTTAAAGAAATTCCTTCCCATTGGTGACCTTGTACTTTTGGATTTTCCCATTGGTAACCTCGTGTTTTTTGAAATCCAAAAATAAAAAAAAATCTCGTCAAAAAAAATGACATCCGAAAATTGACTCTATATATATATATATATATATATATATATATATAAAGGAGAGTTTTTTAAAGTGTTTTTAGAGCGTCACGTAGGATTTTAATTTTTAAAAAATTATTAGAGCGCCACTTAGGATTAATATTTTTAAAACAATAAAATCGGATTATGCCTCGTAAGATTAGTTTTTTTATAAGCGCAACGTAGGATTATAATAAAAGCGTCACGTAAGATTAATAATTTAAAAACGCTACAATAGGATTATGCCACATAAGATTAATTTTAGAGCGTCACATAGGAAAATGTTATATTTTAGCCAATGGAAAAAAAATTGCAATTTGTTTTAGATCAAAAATTTTATATTAATTATAAAAATAAAATCAGTGCGTTTTTTGTGTGGCTGGCCATATCGTGTGGCCGATTGAGACACACCCAAAAACTGACCGAGTAACTCTTGATTGTTCGAGTAAACTCTGATAGATTGAGTAACCCTTGACCAATCAAGTAACTCCTGACCAAGTAATCCCAACCACACGGTGTGACCAGCCACATATGAAATTTTGTGAAATAAAATATTATCTTTTTGTATTACGAATTTTATCTAAATATGAGAAATAAAGTTAATTATTCATTTTATAATAAAAATTCAAGTAGTAAGCAAGCGAATATCACGAAGTTTATTAGATAAATAAATATTTAGTAAAAAAATTTATTTGAAAAAAATACAAACAAACCGTGCATCGCATGGGCTTCATCTAGTAATTTCCTAAACGTGACTTTAATTAGTTGATTATTTCTGTTAACTAACCAATCAATCCTAACCCTAGTTAACACTTATAATTTTTACTTTTTTTTTAAAAAGCAATCCTTCCTCCCAACCCTTAACGCCACAACCAACCCACCCCACCACCACCATTAAACCTCCCCATAATTTGAACCATTTCACTACCCCACTATTCGAACCACCACTACCCAACAAATTGCTCCACGAATTCGAACAACCCATAAACTGCTTACGAAACCCACCCATGCACCTGAAACCGACCCATTTACTCATAAACCACCATATATATTATGAATAGTATAAAAGTCAAAGTAGGACACTTGAAAAATGCAAACGGACATAATAAGCATTAGTATGCCATGTATGATACTACATTACTATGAAAGCACTTGGAAAATGCAAACGGAAATAATAAGCGTTAGTATGCCATGTGTGATACTACATTACTATGTAAGCAAAATTCGGCAAGATTAGGATAAAAATATATATTAAGATAAAATATGTTATATTAAATTTTTGATAAAACTTCTAATATTTATTAGGTACAAAATTATAAACTACTTTGTATAACTTTACAATATCTTACAGCTTTCTTGTTTTTACATCATTAAATTTTTTGTAAAAAGTTGTAATGTTCTAAGCAAGATTCGTTTATAATATATTTTAATTGATTAAAACCCACTCAGTGCTTAAACAATTCACCAAGTATCACACCACATAGAACAAATAAGCATTAGTATGCCATGTATGATGTTACATAAGATAAATTCGGATAGCTTTATTTTAAGAAAATAAGGATGAAAAATACTATTTTAGATTTTAACTTCCATAAAATTTCTAATATTTCTATGTAAAAAATAAATACTAAATTTAAATAAAAATCTAATAGATTTGTTTATATATATATACTACCTCCATTTTTTTAGTTAACTCGTATTCCTTTCTGGAGATTTTTTTAGTTGACACGTTTCAATTTTAAGCATATTTTTTTTATTGGATAGCCAATTTTACCCTCATTCTTAATCTCTCTCCTCACGATTACTGACCCATTCTCTCTCCACTTTACTCATTTACCCAACAAGCCAACATATCACACCATCACACTTCATACCATCTTATTTTCTCTCACCTTCATTCCACACCGCCACCACTGCCATCGCCACGGCGCCACCTCCACCTCCACCTCCACCTCCACGGCCCATTTTCTTTCACCATCGGGATTATAAATGTGTTATTTTTACAACTACTAATGGTTATACATTTTTATATTTTCCTAATATAATTATCTAAGTGATCATTCATGTCTAGCATGATGAATTAATATAGAAATGTATTATCTTATTTACATCGACGATAATTATGCATTAGTAGGAAACGTTTGATCTCAAAGATTCAGAGAGATTTATTTTGTAGGGAAGAAATTAAAAGTTATTATACGATGGTAATATATTTCTTTATTTACAAACGTGATTATTTGTTAATCATTAATTCACGGGTAACAGATTGAAATAACATAGAGATCATCATACTAATGAAACTGTTGAAATTACACCGTTATCTTCACATACAAAGTATGCTTTTGTAATAGTTATAATTCGATCTTATTCTTACATAAATTAATGGTATCCTACCTCAAAATATCCTAAATAAAAAAAAAAAAGGAATTATATCTCTAATAAAATATGATTTCTATCAATGATATGTGTTAGTTAGTATTTATTGGGACAAAAAGTTTATTTTAAATTCAATAAACAAATCGGGCATTGTCCGGGCACAAAACTAGTGTGTTATTAAGCATAACAAGTACTCCATACCCATTAAAATAAATAAAAATAAATTTTAACTTTTTTCATGTAACAACTTAGCTAGCTAATGACCATAAATAATTTATTTTGCAGAGACCATGGTGAAGTCACATTTTCGCACTTTGCTTGCTCTGTATCCACCGGAACTACCATCTTACAATCCTGTTGAGGGAAAACCTCCGGGCAATAAAGGCTAGAATTCACGAAAATGAAAAGAATGAAAGGAAAACATATGTATTTGTATGATTTATGTAGCACTATATATGCATCGGATAATGAAGCTTCTTTCTTGATTATTTCTTCTCGTGCGTGATTTTTATTTTTTTTAATATTCATTTGAAATATGATTATTGTAAAATTTTAATGATAAAACTATATGATTGTTTTTTTTTATACATTATAATATTGACACAATTAGTTTTTTATTATCTTTAATGCAAATATAATTTTTAAAAATTTTAATCCAATATAAAAAATAATTATTTTTTGAGAAATTAGAAAATAAAATTGAAAATTACATAAGTTAAACTAAAAATTAGGTTACCAAAAATATTTTGATGATATATTTTATACCAAAAAAAAAAAAGAAATATACTTTATTAATTGAAGAAAAATAAGTCCATCATAAACCGCATAATTTTCCCACGAAAAATATGTTATACTTGTATTTTATCTATAATTTTTAATACAGTTTTTTTCTTTTATTGATAGAATGAAGTCGAATTACGTATCATGCATGACACGAGACCTTATCTAATATCTCTTCTAAAGTTTTGTGCATTTGTGCACGTGATGCGTGCAAGCATAAGTTTTTAAAATACATGTAAGTCAGCATTATTAGTAAATACTGTAAATCCATTATAGATATTGTTAAGCTCAAAGGAAATTGGAGAAATCAACTTAGCTTGTACTGATATTCTCGACTCAATATAGAGTATATACAATAGCAAACACTAGTTGCCTTAAACTCCTTGATATGTGTGTCGCGTACCAAACAAAAATAACCGAACTAACTCTATTATGTAGTTGAGCAAATAGGGGTCAAATCCCAAGAGACTAAGGAATAACTAATTAAACTGTCTCAAATTAATACTAAGCAAGTAACCAAATCAAATATATGAAATTATACAAAACTAATTTATAGCAACGAATTAATCAGAAATAAATCAAGAACTAAAGATATCTAAGATTAAGAATCGCCACTAATATGAATCAATGCAATAAAACAATCCCTTATCCCTTTATTAAATCAATAAACATTTCACAGGACGGATGCTCCCTGTAACAATGCTAAGAGTTTCTTCCGATCAACTAATAGCTTCCCTAACATGCAATCATACCTATTCTCATGGAATCATACATATTAAAGATATTAAGAACGACATGCTATAAGTCCTAGCAAGAACAATTAGCTATTTTCATGCATAAAAACTCTTACTTTTTAATTAGAGTTTCAAAATCAATTAAGAATCAACTTTCGTTTCAAACCTAATCACGTTCAATAACACTATTCCTAGTCGTTTATTGATAATAAAACAAACTCTAACAAAGAAGAGTTATAATTTAATAAAATTGGGAATTGGGAATCAATTAACACATCAATCCATATTAAGGTTCAACCTAACCCTAGATTATGAAACTACTCAAACATGATAATTAAATAAATAAAATAAACAATAAGAGAAAACATAAAAACAATAATAATAAGAGAATGAAGGAGAGAAAATACTTGAATTGAATTAACGGTAACTTGAAAGTAATTAAATCTTCAATGAACAAAACTTGGAAGAACCAAAAGGGAGAATAAAATAACGTAGAATTAAAATAACATAAAATGAAAAACCTCCTCTTCTATCTTCCTATTAACCTATTTATATCCTAGTACAAAACTAAAAAATTCTATCGTATTAGGACTCTAAACACATAGTTAAAAGAACAACCACACGGGGAATAATTTGCCACAGGCAGGTTGTGGAGTAGGCTGCCACACCTCCCATTGCATACTAAACGCTTCCTCTAACAAACCAAACCATGATCAAGGAAAACATCTAACAAAACGAGCCATTTTCCTACTAAAACAAAAGAAAACATACCAAAGAGAGCACTATCGAAATATAAAAAATAATAGCTCTAAAAGAGTAAGAGAATGAAGAAAACACAATAATATATTAGCAATTATAATATATAAATCGTGTATAATATCGTGTTATCATTCTTTCAATATATTGACCAAAATATAAGAATATTATCATAACCGAAAGGTAGACTAGTATACCTAGAGTTTCTAGCTAATACTCGACTACTCGCTCTCAAGTTAGAGCATGAAGATCAAAAATAACTTGATTGCGTAAAAGAAACCCAAATTGTTGGCTTCCAAGTGTTTTAGTAAGAAAAACCGCCAATTCATTAGTGTTGTATCGGAACATAGGACATAGAATGATTAACCTTTAACAACTTATGACGAAAAAAATGACAACCTTAATTAGCTATCTTAATATGTTTAGTCCAATCATAAAACACCAGGTTCTAAGTAGTATGATTATGCAAAGTTAAGTGACTATCATAAAACAACTGCATAGGTTAGGAATGAATAACACCAAAGGATGTGGAGAATAATAAAGCTCTTAACCACATCAATTCATAAGTAGCATCATATATAGACGATACTCAACTTTTGCTAAAGATCAAGAAACAATAGGTTTCTTCTTTCTGTGTCTTCTATGAAACATAAGAACAACTTAAAAACATAAAATAACCTTTCAAAGAACGTCGAGTCAAAGAACATATTGCCCAATCATTATTACAAAAGGACATCAACACTAGTGGAAAAAAATCTTATTTGCAATGGTAAAAAAGCAAGGTTATTATAATGGCAACATTCGTTACATGTGCGGGGGTTACAAAAAAAAAACTTGCTATTTATAACAGGCGTTGTTCGTTACAAATAACAGGTTATTTGAATCGGGCGTTTTAGTGGCCGTTGCAAAAATCTTATATGAGTATTTTTAAGGATTTATTCTTGGACTATAAATACCCCATGTAAAATCCAATTAACTTACTTAGCATACTCTAAATACCCTAGATTTCCTTTGTTATTAGTTTTCAATTGCACTTTGAAAATTCAAACATGTCAGCAACAATTGATTCTCTTTTCAATTCACATAATGACATAACTGCGTGGCCTGGTATTCATCTATTTCTTATCTCCTGCTTTTATTTATTGTTTACTACGTTTTCTTTGCTGAATATCGTATATGCTTTGATCGAGTCCCTAGGTTTCGTGGGTCTAGGAACCTAGTCAAATTATACCCTAAAAGTGACATAAAAGTCACTTATCAAACTCCCCCAAGCTAATCTTTTGCTTATCCTCGAGCAAAATAAAATGAAGCACAAGAGAAGGAGAATGAATTTATTCAAGTACAGATAACACACTAAAAGAGATGAGAATGTACACTAACTCACTCTTGTAAGAATCACGGTCCATTTTAGCAACTAAATACAAGCCATTTAAACCCCTAGATTGCCCTAGAGGACGAGTGTGCTCTCGTGAAGGTTTCCTAAGAGCTTAACCTACAATTCTTGTGAACCAAGTTAAGACGAACCAAAAACAAGGAGAAAACTAGGCAAAAAAAAGTAAAAAAACACATCACAAATCATGATCATGAAGAACTTTTTAGAGAGACAAACATATATGAATGACAAGCTTTCTAAGAAATAAGAGTGAGCACGAAAGCGGATGCATGACAAAGGTTGATTGAAAAACAAGAGATGCTAAGCTAAGCATAGATAACTCTAACAAGATCCACTCCCCCCGCATTTCAAACATTCTTACAGCGTTCTCTCATCTAGATTCAAATCCACCTTTCAAGGTAGCATCTCTTGACTCCACGAAGAAGTCGGAACAAAGATAAGACAATAAAAACAAGGGGAACCCGACATCTTACCAAGATATGCTCTCTCCATATGCTTGAAATCTAGCTCCCTCCACCGACTAGTGACTCAACTAATGTAGGAAAAAAGGACTTTAAAGGGTTGTAACGTAAGCTAAGGGGTGAAGGTGTGGAAAATTTGAAAATTGATGCTAAGCCTAATTGTGAAGCAAAGGGTGATCAAGCCTCTAATTCTACATAAAAATTTTACCCATTTTCAAACAAAAATGCCACAAAATTTCAACCAACTTGCCCAAGGCTACTTTTGCAACTTTATTTCTTTCAGTTTTCACTTCTTTTTTTTTTCCTTTTTTTTTCACACATTGAACTTTTATTTGTCCTTGCCTTTTTTTTATTTATTTAACTCTGGACGGCATTTTCTTAACTTTGCACTTGCTTTTATTAAACATGCATCCACAAACACAACTTTGCTTTCCATCTCATACTATCACTTTTTTAACATTTCAAACCGAGGGAAATATACGAACTTTTATGACCAAATAGCTTCACAAAAACTAAGCTGATTATAGCTTAACTAGCATGATTTTGGTACTTTTCTGTATGAAAACTGTTATGATTATGGAGCTTTAAATTTAGTTTTTCAATTTGGGGTTAATTTAATGAAATTTTGATGGCATAAAACTATCTGCATTTTCATCTTGCTGAAAGGAATGGTGTCCTTCCAACAAGTGTATTATTCTGATAGAGGGTTTAGAATTATTACAAAGCTAATTTTTCGGTAAGGTCAAGTGATCGGAATGCCTAGGTGGAGGCCGCTTCCGATCAGAAATATTAATGTATAATTAATATTACAGCTTAATCTTAACTGAACCCTTTGGGTTGAACCCAATCGAACAACCGATCCGAGACGACAAATCAATTCGAAGGATTTAATGAGTCGTCGGAGTTTTACGAATACAGACGTCGGATATCGAGCCTAGGGCGTTGAGGCCGAACGTCGCAAAATCACAAGCAACAAGTACGAGCATAGTTGTAGCATCACATTGGCCTAGCCATGTCAAGTGCTAGGCTAGGCTAGCTCATCGCAAGCCTAGGCGCACCATGGTGTGCTAGGCGAGGCATGAGTGCTAGGCGCACCATCGCTAGCACTAGGCGCTAGCATGCGTGCATGCCTAGCATCGCAGCACCATGTGCGTGTGTGCGTGCCTTCGCATGGCACAGCAGCACCGCAACATGTGTGCCTGGATGCCTAGGCGCCATCGCAGACCATACGCACCAAGCACAGCCATCGCAGTGCTGGGCACTTGCGTGTGTGTCTCTCACCATCGCAGGGCCATGCACCAGCGCACAGCACCATCGCAATGCCAGGCACTTGCGTGTGTGCGTGTGCATGTGCACCATCGCCC